GCTAACTAAAAGGCTGGCATTTCGAATCCACCAGCTGCCCCTGGAAACCCTATGGGGCAGTTCTACTCTGTCCTATAGGGTCGCTATGAGTCAGAATTGACTTATCAGCAATGGGTTTGGTTTTTTGGTTTTATACAATAGAGGATATAGCTATCATAAATTAGTGGGTAAACACTGAACCTTTAAAAAAGGGTGTTCGGATAAATGGCTTTTCAAATGGGAAAAAAAATTAGACCTCTACTTCATTCCATACATAAATATAAAATTCAATTAGATTATTAAAGACAAATATAGAAATCAAAACTTAAAAACTATTAGAGATATAGAAGACTTTTATGGAGAAAATCATAAAACATAAGTTAAGGACATAATGGACCTAAATAAATGGCAAGCTACACCATGTTTGTATATGCCCAGGCCAGACCTCAGACCAATTAACTCATATTTTCTGGGCCAGACACCTCTGCAGCAGTATTTTCAAAGCTTTCCAGTGAGCCCAAGGTTGAAGACTACTGCCTTAGTGAAGGTGCATCTAAAATCAGTTCTGTAAGGTTCTGGTTGCCCGTCCCCAGTTCAACATTTACTGCTAGTGCTAACCTTGTAGGATTTGGACTTCATTTTGATTAAGGAAGGTACAATTTCCTTACATAATGGTTATAACATTCATTTGGTATCCTCAGCACCCTGTCTGGTACATAGCAGAGGCTTAGTGGTCATTTTCTGAAATAAACTCAACTAAGTGAAACTGAATGAAATGGATCAATATGTAAGTGAATAAAACTTTCCCTAAATTTTATCCTAAAAATTTCATTCAATTCAACAAATTGATATGGCACCCAGATACAATGTGAGGCTGTAAAAGGTACAAAGATGAACAAACTACAGCCCCCTCTCTTCAAGTGTTCATGACCTGGTGGAGGAGACAGATATGGACAGAAGTGTTTATAATCAAGCTGACAATGGTAAGAGTACAGAATGTAAAACGGGAATAAAAGGAAAATGAATTCTGAATGGCAGGACCTAGGAAGTCATCACTGAAGATTCAATATCCAAGACTGGCCTTGAACTATTGCTGGGACTTACCCGGGAAGAAATTCAGGGAATGGGCAGTTGAGGCGAGAGGAAGTTTTGCACAGCATAAATCAAGTCAGATGAACTTTTCTCTAACCTTCATGGAAAGCCAGAGGGCAGGTATTAGGGCTCGTTTTCTTTCTTATTTCTTTGTCATGACTCTCATTTTTCAAGTATTTTGCCTCTGGTTTATTAATTCTACCTCCTGGTGCCTCAGCTGATTTCTTCCAGGAGAAGTTTTTCATTAGCTTTTCTATGGGGAGCTCCTGCTACCCCATCTATCCCTATTAACTGAGAGCCAGGGCAATGGGGTTGACTGGGAGGGGAATTTTAATCCCCTCCTTATGCCTTATCTGTTTTCCAACTGAGAATGCCAGGGCTAAAGTCACAAATGGCTGTCCAGTGAAATCCATCCTTAACATTAAAAATGGTTAAAAAAAAAAAGATATGCTTTCAATTTTATATCATCTATGTAAAATTGATGTATTGAAAATTAATCAGCCTTATGATTGAGAATAAATACCACTTGATCAAAAAAATCCCAGGCTAATGTAGATGGTTATGAATTAGATGAACTATTAAATAGGAGAGGTTTCTCAAAACCTTAGTGTCAAAGGACATTCAATGTTATCTACTGACTATATTGTCGGAGAGAACAAATTAGCATGTATATGACTCTGGATGCTGAATGTATATTTTATATTACGTACTAATATATTAAGCAGATAGATTGTTTTTCCTTTCTTGATTTAAGGAAATAGCTCACAATGATGTCATGTGACAGATGTCATGTGTAAATCCCAAGAGATAAAGCAGTCACTAAGGTGTAAATGCACCATGATTTATGTTGGGTGGAAGAAGAGAAGGGTTTGTAAACCAAATTATCATTCAAATGAGCCCAATATGGCTCTAAGGCGATTTAAGACTCATGTACAGCAGACATAGGTCCTACTCAAACTCAGGAAATATCCAGAAACACAGCAAGAGAAAGAATGTGAGGCAATAAAAAAGGAAAATCAATGTTCCAGATAAATCTATTTTTTTCCTTTATAGTACATTTAATTTATAGAATATCTGATTTCTTTATATCTACTTTCATCCAAAGTGCATTTCCCTATTATTGGTTAATTTTTCTTCTGTAACAAAAATAATGTTAAATTTCACATCAAATTTGTCATGCACTTTAAATTGTCCATTAAAGAAACTGATGTCTCTTAGCAACATTCATTCTGTTAATGTTTCAAAAGCCTCTTGAACATACAGCAAAATGGTCCTGCTGTTCACAAAGTTAGATGCATATTTAAATTTTACAGAAGACCCAAATTATATATATATATATATATATATATATATATTTGTGAGGTATTCAGATATTTTTCTTGACAGGCTGATGGAATTCTGATGGCCCATAGAAATAATAATCATTCTCACCAACTGCAGGAGTGTAGCCTTCTCCCACCTGATCCAATCACTTCTGCTACATATGTAACTCTAGCTGTGAAGCTATGATGTGCTTACTGAACAGTTAAGATGCTGTTTTGGGGGAAGAGGCTATATGGAACAAAGATACAACTAAAATATTTGGAGTGGGTTGCATCTGAAAGGTGTGATCATTCCCTGACCACTTGGACAATCATCCATGGACAAAGCAAGTCCTGCCATCTTAGAAACAAAAACTGAGTAGGACTACCCAAGGAGGATTGAGAATCTAGAATCTCTTTTGATTGGCATTGACTTATGGAGGTGAGGACAGATAGCTCCTGCCTGGTGGGTGGAAAGGTACCACCTGCCACAGGGAGGTAGAACGGGAGTAGGAAGAGGAAGAGGCCAGGTCAGGAATCTCTGAAGTTGGGCCAGAGTTAGAGATCTCAGGGAATGAGGTAGGGCCCATAAACAAGAAAGCCATGGCAGGATCAGAAAACTATATCTTGGCTTTGTTTTTTGTTTTTTATGCCCCTTGCTTGTTTGCTTCCTTTCTTTTCTTTTTGATCCTCCTTTGGTAGCAGTATAAAGATATTGTGAAAGTTCTACCTCCTCATGGCTGTGAACCAAGGAAAAGGATGTGTGTCCTTGCTTGATCCAGAGCTTTAAATGGAAGCAGTGTCTGGAGGATCAATGTGGTCATGATAGTGATACACCAAGAAAGAGATGCCAAGTGGGAGGTGGAATCCAAGAAGGTGGAGTAGGGGCCAACTGATTAGCTGCCTCTTCTCAATGAGAAATGCTTTCCAGGGTTAAAACAGGGGTGTGAGTGGATTTTGTCTTAACAAGAGAGGATGTCTGTGTATGCTAGTCTTTTCCCTCAGCATATGGGGTAGTGTTTGTCATGTTCACTGGAGAAGAACATCAATCTGAACATGAGGCTACAAAGAGGGTCTTGGCAAAGGACACTAACTGCAGCCCTCCCCACCACACCCTCCTACAGGAAGGAGGCAACTGACTGTGGCATTGATAAAGAATCCCATAAGCCACATTTTGAACACCTCTAGCTCAATTACTCATCATGAACATCTGCCTCCCCAGAGATCCCAAGTCCCCGTGTTACATGTTCACAGTCAACTGTAATCTGTTAGCTAACTGATTTGGGTTGAAACATAAGGGAAGGACTGAAAGCTAAGCATTCAGAAATACATATTGGATGGATGAAGGGAGAGAAAGCAGGATAGAAGAACTGAGGCTGCCGCAGAGGGAAAATTCTAGAAGGATGTTGAGAGACAAAGAACATGTTTCTATGCTTGAAGGCATTCATTAACAAGGAATCTGAATGTGTTAAAGGAAGGGTTTTTGGTGATGAGAGAGAGAAACACAGCTGGAGAACATGAAGGGAAAGGAGAGAGAAAGGAGATGTATTAATGGGGAAAAGACTGGAGATATGTGGGCAGTGGAAATTAGAATAATGAGGCATCAGGTAGAAGGTGGGACTGAAATCAAACCTGCTAAATTCGAGGCCGGAGCTCTCCTCCTGAATAATCTCATTTAATCCTCACAATGTTTAGCACAGTGCCTAACATACACAGTAGTGCTGTTGCTGTGCGCCTTTGAGTAGATTCCGACTCATTGCGACCCTGTATGACAGAACCGCCGCATAGGGTTTTCTAAGCTGTAATCTTTACGGGGACTCATCCTGTATCTTTTCTCCCACAAAGCCGCTGGTGGATTGGAACTGCCGACCTTTTGGTTAGCAGTCGAGGCTTAACCATTGCGCCACCAGGGCTCCTTAGCGTATATAGTAGGTGCTCAAAAATAGGTTGAACATTTAATATTAAATCAATAAATCAACAATCTTAAGAGATATCTGTTAATCGTATTTACAGATAAGAACCTAAAGACCGGAAACGTTAAGAAACGTGCCCAATGTGCCATAGCTAGTAAGAGGCAGAAGGAATCTGACTTCAAAACGAATGGTAGAAGGAGCGTGACTACCGGCAATTAGAACAGGATGTGGTGCTTGGGTGTCGCCCAGAGACTCAGAAGGGAAGGAAGTATGAAGGGCCAAGAGAATAGGAATAGGGAGGATGGGGACCCTGCAGGAAGGTACCAGGGCCGGGGGAGACAGCCAAGTCAGCAAGGGGGCAGCATCCAGGCTAATGCAGCAGGTGAGTTGAGTGGGACAGGATGGAAATTGCAAAGGGTATCTCTTGGGCAGCAGGGATCTGAGGTGAGGCGGGATGGGGAAAAGGTGGCTAAGGTGGTGAAGCGAAAGACCTGGGCAGACTGGAACGGATGATACTAACGGCTTCCACACAGGAATGGGCAGAAGAGAAGCCTGCGACAGAGGATGCTTGGGGTGGGGCCGGGGAAGGGCGTGGTCTAGCATAGGATGGGAGGCTAAATGTTAGGCCTGCGATGGAGAGCATGAGTCCTGGGCAGTCCACCGGAGAGGGCAAGGGTGACTGGGTCAGTCGCGTGAGCTGCGGCCCGCGCCTCACCTGTAGGAACTGCCCACTGCACTCGCCACCTCCTCGCGGATTTGCCTGTTGAGGGCGTCCGCCGCCGCACGCCCCTTGCCACCCTCGGGGCCGGCCGCCTGGACCTGGGCCACTGGCAGCGGTGTCTGCTCGAGCCCCTGCCCCTCGGCGCGACGCAGCATCCAGGCGGGCCAGGCCTTCCTTCGTGCGTCGCGCTCCTCCCCACCGGACGCCTTTCCGGCCGCAAGGACACCCGCTCCGCCAGGGGCCGCCTCCTGCTCCGGGGCCTCAGCGGCGTCCTGCACCGGCCAGCGCTCCTGGCTCTTCGGCCGGCGCTTGGGCGCCCCAAGGATGGGCGCTGGGGCCTGGAAGGACGTGGAGATCTGCACGGGCTTGGGGATCCACGGGTGGTCCCCGCGGCGCGGCAGCGGCCAGGCGCGAAAGTCCTTCTGGTACTGGGTCTCGCGCTCGAAGGGCGCGTCGGACGGCTGGTACTCGCTGCGAGGTCGGCAGCTCGGCTCGGGCCGCTGCACTTTCCAAGCGCGGTAGTCCTGGCGCATCACCGAGTCCGCGGGGCCTGCGTCAGTGGAGGCGCCCAGGCCTGGGCCGCTTCGGCCCGGGGCCGCTGCCGCCTCGCGGTCGCCGCTGGGCCCCGGGGCCTGCCCTGTTGCCCGGGCAACTGCATCCAACTCGCCCTGGGCCGGCTGCGTCTCTATGGCGACCGCGCGCGCCGAGGCGGGCGCGAGTGTCGGCTGCGCCTGCTGCTGTTGAGGCGGCGGCGGCTGCGGCGGGGCGCCCGGGTGCTCGGTGGCCTCCGAGTACTTGGTGAAAACCAGCGGCACAGCTATGTCCGCCTTGTCCAACTGGTTCCAGAAGCGGGCGATGCAGCAGGCCCGCGTGATGCACGGCCACGCCATGATGCTGCCTGCAAAAGCTGGCCCTCCCTCTTACTTTCTGTGGTTCTAAAACAAGTCTATATTCTTCCTTCAGCCCTCTGGCCCCCAACCAGCCAATCTGGCTGCCACCGTTTTTTCCCTGGTCTGCCTGAGCTACCTCGACCTCCTCCCTTAGAGAGCAACGGGGGAGAGAACCCGACTCCCAAGGTCGGGCTAGCAAAGCTATTGCTGAGATAGTCTAGGAAGTCCCTCGATTACCGACTGCAAACGCGTCTGGGAGCCTCCTGCAAAGCTCTCGGGAGAGCAGTCGGCTGCCGGCGGCGAAAGGCGAGAAGCACCGCGTCCGCGAGTCCCCACCGAGGGCGTCTGGGATGCGCCCCTCCCTGCGCCTGCGGCGGCGCGCAGACCCCGGCCAAGCGAGGCGACGCGAGGAGAGGCGAGTGCCGGCTTAAGCCATGGCGCAGAGAAAGGGCCGGGATATGTGGCCGCAGGGTCGGAGGACGAGGCTCTGTTCTCCTCCCTGCCGGCGTCCGGGCTCACCCGGCCACCTAGCAGGCTCGGAGGCGGTCACCTCCAGAGGAGACTGAGCATTGCTGCCGCTGCCGCTGCCCTCAGTGATGCTGCAGCCGCTGCTGTTGCCGCCACCGCCGCCGTCTGTGCTGCAGGGAAGCGGCCCCACCCTTTTCTGCCTCACAGCAGGGGAAAAAAAAAAAAAATCCAGGAACGATGCTGAGAGAAAGCACGCTGCAGAGAAAAATCACCTGCTGTCGTCAGCGCGCACGACTGGGTGCTCGCCCTCTCTCTTTCCCCTCCTCCCTCCACCCCATCAGCTCCGCCCTCCTCCGCTTCCTGGCAACAGCAGATCTGGGGCCTTGGTGAGTTCAAGTCCCAGACTCATGATGACTTGCTGTTCTTGGGTTTATCGCTTCACCTCCAGTAGTCTCAGGCCCCCTTTTTGTAAAATAGGCCCAATCGTTGGACGGATGAAATTGAAAAATATGGAGGAAAACCCTAGTGAAATGCCTATCCCATAACCGATCTTTCAAAAAGGGAGCTGCTAATATTGGCCAAAGTCATGGGCTGGATTTGAACCCACCTTGACTGATTCCTGATCCAAGAGCTCACCGGTCTTACACACAGGCGCTGCTCCTTTTCTAGGGGACCCCTGGCGGCATCTTAGACCCTCCCAAGACCCATCCAGTCCTTGTTCAGCCCAGAGGCCACGCTGGGGGAGAGGTGGTGAAAAGATTTCTTGAAAGGGACCCTGAGCAGGAAGTTTGGGAGTGGGAAACAGGAGGAAAGTACCCTAGGACTGGGTAGGGACTGCCCTGCAAGTCTTCCTCGCACGTTTCTGCCTCCTGGCTTTGCTCTTTCTCTTCCTGGGAGGCAGAATTGATTTTGGAGTCAGATAGACCTGATGTCTTCTCTGGCTTGGCACATACTATATGTGCCACTTGGGCAAGGTGAGTCATCCCAGGGCCTCTCTGAAAAATGGAAGAAAAAATAACTACTTCTAAGTGGTTTTGTCAGAATAGTTAAAGACTCAGCGCAGAAGCTTTGAGTCAAATAAAATCCAACCCACTCACTGCTGTTGAGTCAATTCCAACTCATAGAGACCCCTATAGAACAGCGTAGAACTGCCCCATAGGGTTTCCAAGATTTAAATCTTTATGGAAGCAGACTGCCACATCTTTCTCTCATGGAGTGGTTGGTAGGTTCGAACTGCCAATCTTTTGGTTAGCAGCTGGGTGTTTAACCACTGCACCAACAGGGCTCCTTAAATCAAATCCACAGGGATTCAAATCCTGGCTTTTGGTCTCCTTAGGTGTATGGCCATGGACAAATTGCTGCAATTTTCTGACCCTTAATTCCTCATCTGTAAACGTGGGTACCAATTCTCAGCTTGCAAGGTTGTTTTGAGAATCAAAAATGATATAATGCATGAAAAGTGTTTACCACAATATCTGGCATATAGCAATGGCTCAATAAATAGTAGCTATTATTACTCCATTGGTGATTTGATTTGATTTGATTCCTGGCCAATGCACCCCATGCACAGCCATCACCTGTCTGTCAGTGGTGGCTTGCATGCTGCTATTATGCTGAGCAGGTTTTGGTGCAGTTTCCAGACTAAGACAGACTAGGAAGAAAGGCCACGCAATATACTTCAAAAAAATCAGCCAATGAAAACTCTATGGACCACAATAGTCTGATCCCCAACCAGTCATGGGAATGGCATAGGACTAGGCTGCGTTTCATGTCATTTTACGTAGGGACCTACTCAACAGCACTTAACAACAACAACATTAATAACAACAGCATTATTATTCCAAGGACCCACCCAGGGGACCCATAGGTGGCACTTCCCAAACAGGCCACTTGGACATCTTCTCTAAGAAGTCCTCCTATTCTTCCAAGTGTCTCTTGGTCTCTCCTTGATGTCCCTCTATTTATATCTCCTGTACTGTCCTCCACTCCTACCCTCAGCTATATCCCTTGGCCTTCAGCTTTGTTGCCTTCCAATACAGGCAGATTTTTCAGCATCAGTTATGCTGGCGGTGTACGCATTTCTGGAGGATAAAGTCATTTATGTGTTTAGTTGGGAATTGATTGCAAAACACAGCCTTTTTTTTTTTTTTTAAACTTTAGGATCAAACAGGATGAAAAAACAGCTCTGGTTAGTCAATTATCTGCTGAACTTCCTCCTACTCGGTTCTTTGTGTCTTAGTGATTTGATTTGAGTTTCATAAATAAAATAATGCCTGGCACTGTTTTCCAGTTGTTAGGAGATAAATATCTATAAACAATATAATCTAGTCTAACCCTTCCTCCCCCTAGCCCTGCAGAACTCCCTGAGATTTGGCTGATGTCTTTTCAATAATGATTTTCAAAGGTAAAAAGAGGGACTAGAAATTGGAGGAACAGTGTCTGTAATGAGAATCACTGAGACTTTATTCTTCTTTCATTTAGCAAGTCTAGTCTTCTGATGCCCACTGTGCTCAACTCTTTCTTTGGCACTGTAGGACACAGACGGATTCTAGCTCTTGAGGAGCCCTCAATTGGAGGGGTTGGTGTGGGAGAGCAAGGAGACAGACACGCAGATCATTACCAAACAGTATGGTCAGCATAAGACAGGCTAACCTGAGGTGCTGAATGAATGATTAATTGCCTGAAAAAGTGAGAACAGGCTTCATGGAAAAGGGACTTTAAAGGTGGGCTTGATAGATGAGTAGAAGTTCTCCAGCAGGAGAGGTTTAAGGGGGAGTGTCCCAGGCAACTTCATCATCCACGCCACCTTTCTCGTTTGCTCATTTGGGTGTTCAGAGTACATTCAGTTGTACAACTTCCCTGGGCCATCCAGTGGCCCAATGGGACAGACAAGTCTAATGGTCACAGCTTTGTCTGTAAGAGACAAATATTGACACATATTGAAAGAAAGTGATGGAAAAAGATGTAGTAGGTAAATACAAACCAAAAGAAAGTGGGTGCCATGTTACTGATATCAGACAAAATTGGTCTTAAAACAAAAAGCATTATTAGAGATAAAGATGTTCATCATATAAATATAGAGGAAAAAATTCCCCAGAAACATATAGTTTGCATCTAACAATATACTTCAAATATGTAAAGCAAAGCTTGGTAGAATTTGAGAAGAAATGCACAAATCCATCATCATCATTAGAGAGAGATTTTTTGACACATCTAAGTAACTGAAAAATCAGACACATAAAATGTTGTTAGAGATGTAGAAGATTTGAAGAATTAACAAGTTGGATCTAATGGACCCTGCATCCAACAATTAGACAATACATATTCTTTTCAAACCTACGTGGAATATATAAAACCATATATTGGGCCACAAATAAATAAACAAGTACCAAAGATGCATACAAATCACATTTATTGATAATAGTACAATAAAATTAGAAATTAATAATAAAAGATAACCACAAACCTCCACATATTTAGAAATTAAAGAAAAAATATAAGTCTAAATTCATGGGTTTAAAAATAAATTATAATAGATATTAAAAAATGAAAACACTGCATATCAAAGCATGTGGGATGCAGCTAAAAGCAGTATTCACAGGGAAATTTTAGCCCAAATACATATGTAGAAACAAAGAAAGATTAAAAATACTCTAAAGATTAGACTCAAGAAATTAGGGAGAAAAAAAAAGTATAGGGCAAACCAAAAGACAGTAGAAGAGAGAAAAAAAATAAAAGAACAAGGATTAATTAAATATAAAACAACAATATAATAGAGACTGTCAAAAAATTCAAAAGCTTATTCTTTGAAATAGACAAATTGCTGACAAGTTCATCCAGAAACAACAAAAGAGAGAAAAATCACACATAAACAATTTTAGGATTTTAAAGAGAGATGGTTGTAGATATAGCAGAGATTTGAAGAATCATTGTCAAATGTTAAGAATTACTTTCTGTTGATAAATTTGAAAACCTTGTTGGTAGCCAGCCTCCAAGATGGCCCCCAGTGATTGTCACTACCTGGTGTTTACACTCTTGTATAGTCCTTGTCCACGGTGACTAGAACTGATCTGTATAATGAAAAAGATATTATGAAAATTATGTGTGTGACTTTCGAAGCTAGGTCATAAAAGAAATTGTGGCTTCCACCTTGCCGTCTCTTGGATCACTCACTCTGGGGGAAGCCGGCCACCATATTGTGAGGACATTCAAGCAGCCCCACAGAGAGGTCCACATGGTGAGGAACTGAGGCCTCCTATCATCAGCCATGTGAGTGAACCAAATTAGAAGTGGATCCTCCAGCCCCAGCCAAATGTTTAGATGCCTGCAGACCTGGCTGAAATTTTAATTGCAACTTCATGTGAGACCTTGAACCAGAACCACCCAGCTAAGCCATTCTGAATTCCTGACCCACAAGTCATATTCACATTTGAGATAATAAATGTTTAGCATTGTTTAAAGCTAGTAAGTTTTGGGGTCATATATTTTTTTTTTAACATGGTATATCTATTTTTTATTAAGGTCTTTTACTAAAGTTTTAAATTTTTCTTCATAAAGTTCTTACACATTCTTAAGTTAATTCTTAGATACTTTATAGTTTCTGTTGTTATTGCAAAAAAAGGTATCACATACTCTATTATATTTTCTAATCACTTATTACTGCTGCAAAGGAACACTTAATCGTGTAATTATAAAATATGTCTGATATCCCCAGATGGCGTCACTGGACAATTCTACAAAACACTTACAGAAGAGCTTGTACCAGTACTACTCAAGCTATTTCAGAGCATAGAAGAGGAAGCAACACTTCCAAATTCATTC